CACACACACACACACACACACAGAGAGAGAGAGAGAGAGAGAGAGAGAGAGAGAGAGAGAGAGAGAGAGAGAGAGAGAGAGAGAGAGAGAGATTGCACACACGGAAATCGGCCCCTGTAATAGTTCGTGGGATTAACGTTTCCCCTCTGTTCTTCCCGCCCCCGTCCGTCTTCACGGACTCCCCGCCCTCCTCTTCACCCTCCTTTTCGGTTTTCCTCCCTCTCCTCTCCTTTCTCAAGAGGCTCAGGTGAGTGGGGAATGATGATCGTTAATCAAGCCAGAGATTGAAGGAGCGACCGTCGTCGCAATAGACGGCTCCGATCCCGAGCACACTACTGATGTCGGGGCGAAAGAGGATGCCAGAGGAAAGAGGAGGAGGAGGACAGAGCACTCTCCACAGCAGAATCGTCCCGTCGCCATTCGACTGGTACAACATCGCCCTCCCAGGGCCTCGTGTTCGTCCCACAGACAAAACCAGTAGTTCCCACAAACTGTAAACTACTGTAGAAACCTCGGCGGCAGCCACGTGTCCACATTCCCACGCAGCGGCGTCGCACTGGGTTGATATCGATATCTCTATCTGTATATCTACCACCTATCCACCTACCTACCGATCTGCGTATCTCTCTGAGTCGTAAACAGGCACGCAAAGCACACAGGGGAGCGGGCTGCCGTTGGGCGCCAGCTGAAGCGTGCCTCTTCGTATGCCTGCCTGCGTGCTCAGTGCAGCTTCGAGCTACGATGAAGCCCGGGGAGGGGGGAGAGAGAGAGAGAGAGAGAGAGAGAGAGAGAGAGAGAGAGAGAGAGAGAGACGGAGAGAGGAAGTACCGAGTTAACAGTGAAGGGAGAGGGAAGGGGAGGGAGAGACGTGGGAGGGAAAAAGGGTGCACTCCCACGTCCAGAAGAGAGCCGCGCGAAGGGCGGGGGGGCAAAAGTGCGGACAAACATACGAACAGCAGAGGACGACGTGCAGAGCGGACATCGGCGATGCGCAGGCAAACCACGAAAAGACGAAAAAAAAAACAACAAAAAAAGGGGAGGAGAGCGCGAGAAGCGGTGGTAGCTAGCGAAAGGAGAGGGGAGGACCGACCGGTACGGTGGATTGGTAGGCGGCCAGAACGGCCGTAGCTCCCGCTGCTCCTCCCTGACACCACTGACTGACTGACTGACTGACTGATCAGCCTCCTCTCTCTCTCTCTCTCTCTCTCTCTCTCTCTCTCTCTCTCGCTCTCGCTCGCTCGCGCTTTCTCTTTTTCTGCACCGCCGACTACGGTGAGGTTCTCACGCCTGCGTCAAGTTTTTGGATGGGTGGATGGATGGATGCATGGGAGGAGACGGACAAAAGAGTGCACAGCAATCACGGAACCCGTTGGGTCCCAGTTCCGCGGCTTCACGTCCTTGGGATCTGCAACGCCAGGACAAAAACAAAAACAAAAACAAAAAAACGCCAGGAAAGTCACGGAGAGGGTTACGTAGGCTTTTGTTTTCGTCACAGGCCCTAGTTGCACTACTCGCCATCCGCCAAGAATTCGAATGCATATGGACAACCAGATGTCCACATGCAATCAAGATGTTGGCCGATGGGGAGTAGTGCGACGAGGCCCACAGACACCAGCGCTACCGTTGAGAGAGGCATGTTGCGGAGCACTGGGAGGCCTACTGGGGTAGATAGGCCCTAGTTGCACTACTCGCCATCCGCCAAGAATTCGAATGCATCTGGACAAGCACGATGTCCACATGCAATCAAGATGTTGGCGTATGGCAAGTAGTGCAACGAGGGCCATATAGGCTGCTACGCTATGTTCTCCGTAACAACACAACAGCATGGCAAGGACCTCCTTTTTTTTTTTTTTTTTTTTTTTTTTTGCAAGGACCATTTGTCTGCCGAAGATAGTAGCACCGCTGAGCCCCAGCACCATGCTTTCCGTCAATCATTACCAACTTCTTGGACTGAATTTAGTCCTGAATGAGCTCTGATAGGTTCAACAGAGGCCCAGTGTTCGCAGCCCTTAGGCTGCGGTATAGTGGGCTTCCACGTCTGTGTCAAGGTGTCTCATTTTTGGCGGCAGGCGACCAGGACGCAAGTGGGTTTTTCGGGGGAAAAAATTTTGGGGGACCGGTCCTTGGCAAAATTGCGGACTACCTAAAGCTAGCTCTGGTAGAACCGGGACTTTTGGAAAAAGGAAGGACTGGTCCTCGGGTGGAAGTGGACCCCAAAAAGAAGTGGGGCCATTGGACCGGTCCTCGGGTAGAAGCGGACCCCAAAAAGAAGTGGGGGCATGTGATCTGCAAAAGGGCCCTCAGGCCCAGGCGTTGAGCCCCGTCTTCTCAAAACAGGGAGGTCAGGCACAACGAAACATTGGACATAAATCCTGGAGAAACTTTTGTGGAATGCCATAAAATCTGGTACGAGAAGACCCGAAAATTCTTTCCGTAATCGAATCACTACGAAATTATACAACAAACGGAATCTGAGATCACTCAATTGGCGAAAAATACGTATCATGGATGT